CTCAGTTTAGTCCGCTCTATCTACACAAAAGTGATTGGTAAAAAAGGTCGGGATACCCTGTACAGGAATACGAGCGGCCGAGAAGGTACATTTTCGGTTTTCGATCGCTTATAACAAGCGACTACGATACTAGAGGAAGCGAGACAGCGAGATAGAGCGGCTGTCCTTTTCGCTCTAATACTCGCTTGTAGAGCGAGAAGGACGAGCGCTGTCTCTCGCTGTCTCGCTCGCTCTCGCGGCGAAGATGGCCGACTCGATGCCGGTAGGTGTCTGCTTGGTGGGGGTACAAGTGGTGGGGCTGGTTTCCGTGTTGCCGGGGAGCCAAATGTGCATCACTGGTAGCAACGTGTGATTAAAGTTTTATGATCACAAATCAACTGCAAATAGATGTACATATATTTTAGGTTTAAGTAAACAGTTACAACACAGTAAAATATTTGCAATTAACATATGATAGATAAATGTTATCTATCTGCAACTGAATTTAATGAAATCCTTTGCGATTAATATAATCAATGGAATTCTCCTTTGGAGCATCAATGCGGATGTGGGTGCCATCGATGGCCTCAATAACTCTTGGAAATCCACTAGCTTCTTCAAATTCCCTCATCACAGTGACCGCACGATTACCACTAGGCCATTGAATGAATCTTGTCGACTTTTTAAACACACCACGAGACTCTTCGCACAGTTCTCATAGCAGTTGCTTTGCCCACATTGAATCGATCGCAGATCGATCTGTAACAAGATAGTATTAAATTAATCGAACATATTGCAGATTTCAACATAAATTTATTATGAACATAGAGTTCATAAATGAATTTTATTTAATGCAATCAAACCCTGAATTTGTGCATCATTATCTGTATGAATCCATCGTAACCACTTTCCAAAGGGCAATCATTAACTGTTGATGTGCAGGTATTGTAATGCAGCCTTTTATTTTCCTAATTAAATCCTGTTGAATAATTTGAAGGAGGTATTGAAATGTAGCATTTGACATTCTACAAAAAACAGGAAATTTGTATCTACAATTCACATTTTTAATAACATATGCAAATAGAATACATCTCTAATAATGATCACTAACATAAAATGACTTTTAAAATCATAATCTGTATAACGATTAACAACGTCAATATAATTTATGATGCGTACACGAAGTTTCCGCATTTTTTTCTTCACGATCTCTACAATAGAGATCGTAACAATATTGAGATTGTTACGTATTGTATTGTATTGTATTGTATTGTATGTCAATACTGTTACGTATTGTATTGTCGAGATCTCAATAGAAACCTCTACAATAGAGAATTTCTAAGGAGAAATTTTTCTTTACTTGCTCTGGCAAGGGACATTTTCGGACGCACTCATGATTATAAGTACTTATACTGAATTATATTGGCGATGATGACCTTTTTTTTTTGTTTCGCGTAGGAGGGGAAAATCTTCGCTCAGCCCTGAGAGGACGCTCCGGATCCCATCACTTTAGAGACTTGGTACCCCGATTCCGCCATCTCGACCAGGGAAGACACCAGGGCCCGAGTACACCTGGGCGTGTTGGATTCATATGCTTTGTGATCCCATGAATGAGATCTCCATGGAATGCGCCTACCAACTAAAAACTCCCCCTTAGTGCACCAGTACCAGGCTTATGAGAGGGGTCCCGGATCGACTATTCATCACGCACAGGACCCCTCTCGCCCTCTGAGAAATATCTCCACCACCAGTATTTCCGGGACATCTATTTACAATCCCTTTTTAGTTTTTGGGCATTCCACACCTTTCGTTTAAGTGGTTACACGATTAGCGGCAGCGTCGCCCGAAGCGAAGGAGGCCCCTCGCTTGCTCCCTCTCCCGCTCAACCCTTTCTTTTTCTAACATTATCTCCTCACAGAACCTTTTGAATCCCTCCCACTTAGGCTCAAAGCGAACAATAGCCTTCATAATCGTCCCAATTGCTAAATCCTGACCTACTATTGACTTTAATGTAACCCTTTGAACGTTCCATGCAGGACACGCCTCCAGGGTTTGCCGCGCCGAGTCCACCGCTCCCACACAGTGCATGCAAGCGGGGGACCCAGCGCGTCTTATTTCATACTCCTGGAAGCATCCGTGACCCGTTATAATTTGGGTCATGTGGAAAGTAAGACCTCCCGCTCCTCGGCTTATCCATCCTGATAGTACCTCCGCTAAGGCTTCCTGAACCCTGTATTCCGGTGCCGATGGCGAGAGGCTCAGAAGTTCTCCCTTCCAAGTCTCTATCGCCTTTTCATATTCCATCACTTTTATTTTATCCCTTGTCCTAGGTAAGATAAACCCGTGCTCTGCAATTATATCCTTCGTCCTCGAGTAAACTGCCCGATATCTTAATGCAAGTATTTTGAAAGGCATCATTTTTGACAGAAGAGATAGCTGATGTCTCATACGACACCGTACGATATGCACATATAACCCTTAGGGCCACTCTCCTCCACACACGAGCAACACTGTCACAGATTTTTCTATTTTCGGCCACATCTATCGCCCAAATAGGTGTACCGTACATGATTACCGATATCACCACTCCCGCATACAAGCTTCGACGCTTTTCCCCTGGTCCCCTCAAGTTAGGCATCAGTCTACTGAGAGCTACTATTATTCTCTCGGCCTTGGTTAATATCACACGAAAGTGCTCCTTGAACATCCATTTCGTGTCAAGCGTGATGCCTAGGTATTTCATCATATACGTTTTGATTTCTATACTAGTTTTATCAATTCTGATGGGTGTCCCAGTTGGACACGGCTCAATTGGACATGAACCACTCACAGCGCTTGAGACTACAAAGCTCCTAAGCACCGGTTGCTGTGATTGGTGGTGTCCAATCGAGCCGTGATCAATCGGGATCACCCCATTCTAATATATCCAACTTCTTTGGGTACACGTCCTTTCGCGAATACGATAGCCTCTGTTTTATTCACCGAGTAAAAAACCTTTAAACCCTTACTCTCTATGGTTTTTATGAGAGCTGTCGTTGCTGTATTGGCCGCAGCCACTGTCTCCCTATAATTTGTCCCCGACACTATTAGCAACGTATCATCCGCATAGCATATACAGGTTCTCCCGTATGGCAGTGGTTCTCTCAGAACATCGTTGTACCCTATGTTCCACAAAGTAGGTCCTAGAACCGACCCCTGTGGAACACCACATCTTACCTCTCGCTTACACAACTCCCTATTCCTGCTCACATATACCAGGTGTTTATCCGATAAGCAGCTGTCCAGTACCCTAAGCAGATATGTAGGAATGCCCCTGCTACGCAGCGCCTGTTGGATTATGTCCCATGGGAGTGAGTTGAAGGCATTTAATATATCCAAGGATACAGCTATCACATAGCCTCCTCAACCATCGCCCTCAAATGGCCGATCGCATCAACTGTGGATCTATTTGGCCTAAATTCATATTGTCGCTCTGATAGCCCATCCCTCATCCTTAAAAATACGTATATCCTACCATTTATGATCCTCTCGAATAATTTGCCAAGCCTGCTCATCGAGCAGGCATATAGGCCTAAATTCCGAGGCATCTCCCGTTTTACCTAGCTTTCTTAGCAAAACGGGATGATTCCGATTGATCACGGCTCGATTGGACACCACCAATCACAGCGACCGGTGCTTAGGAGCTTTGTAGTCTCAAGCGCTGTGAGTGGCTCGTGTCCAATTAAGCCGTGTCCAACTGGGTGCCACCCCAAAAGTTAGGAAGTCAACGGTTCAATTGCTTCCCTCTCAAAAAAAAGTAGCGCTCCCGGTATCCCATCAGGACCAGGTGCCCTACCCCTTGCAATACGTCTACTCGCCGCGATGAGCTCAAACTTGGTAACCGCCATTGCTTCTTCCCAATCCCCTGCCTCAATCTCCAGAACTTCAAATGCCCCAGAAGGGGGAAATAGAGCTGAAACAACTCCCTCGACCCCCTCCACCGGCAAACTCTCAATGACTAAAGGTGTCGATCTGATATGCTTCAGTACAATTCTATATGGCCTTCCCCATGGATCCTTGTCCAGAGTAGCAATTAGCTCATGCCCGATCCTTTGCTTTCCAAATTGCCCTACGTATTTCCTTTCGGATCATTTTTAATTCGCCCCACAACATTGCAAGGTGCTCCTGCGAAAAGCTTCTTCTGCGCCTCGCTCTCGTTACCGCTCTCCTGCATCTTGAGCAAGCTTTGTGGAGCTCTGCTATGTCCTTATTTCACCAGTAGGCAGATCTTCCCCTTGTCAGTCCCGAATGCGGCATCGAGGCATCCGCAACCTCTTTCATTGTGTTTATTATCCATTTTAACCTATTCTCTATTGATACCTCTTCTTCTGTATTAATCCACGTTTTCACAAGAAGGGATACCATAGCCACATCCAGATTTATCTTCTTAAAATATCAACGTGGAAAAAATTTGCAATTAGCTCTATTTACTGATACTCCTATTCGATCGCTAATAAATTCCATTAAAACATACCGATGGTCCGACAGTGAGTCCGTTGACTCCATTACCCACCACCCAAGTTGCCTGCGGATACCGATGCCCACGATACATCAACCATCGAAGCCCCTCTTGGGTGCACACACGTGTGCACAAACCCCTGGTTTAGAAGTGACAATTTTAGTGAGTCCGCCCATTCTGAGAGGGCATAACCTCTCGCATTCGTCCTAGTGGCATCCCATCTGTATAATCTAGCATTAAAATCACCAAGGAAATATATAAGTTTCCCCCTATATTTCCATCTAATCCTCTCTAAAGCTGGAAACACAATAGACACAGGCAATAGGCACAGGCAACAATAATAGGGAATAACGAGCCGTCCAATCAGAGCTCTGGGATATAATATCGAACTTATACCTCAAAGCTCTGATTAGACGGCTCGTTATTCCCTATTGCCTGTGCCTATTGCCTGTGTATATTGTGTTTCCAGCTTAAGATCACGAAATAATTTAAGAATTCTGCTAACTTTCTATTAGGGAAGAAATAACATCCAACCAATACCACCCTGCCCCACAGGACAACAACATATCCCATTCCGCTTTCCAAATGTGAACAAAGATATCCAGACACCACCTCCTGCCATGTTATGGCAACGGTTGCATTCCTATCGGAAGAGAAAGCCCAACGATCATCTCTCTCGATATAGCACGGTTCTGCTATTATCGCTATATCAGCATAGCCAGTTCCTAGATTATGTACAATCAGGTCCTGCGCCGCCCTCGAATGGTTCGCATTGGTTTGTAATAATTTAACCATTTAATGAATCACTAACTAAAATGGCACTACTCCGATTCGCCATATTCTCTTCCATAGCCTCCATTATTATATCTGTTGGATTATCCCTCTCTACTGCCGCCTCCGAATTTGTTATTCTTGACACCGGCGTGCACACCGAAGATCTCGCTCTGTGATTGGGATCTCGGCCCCTCTCTGCGCAAACCGGGCACCAAGATTTATATCGGCACTCATTGGCCTTATGACCCTCTCTGCCACATTTGAAATAGTTTCCTGTTCTGTCAATTCGATTGCCACATCTCTGCCTAGTGTGTCCCAATGCCATGCAGCGAAAACATTGTACTGGCCTGCGGTGGGTGGCACCCAGTTGGACACGGCTCAATTGGACACGAGCCACTCACAGCGCTTGAGACTACAAAGCTCCTAAGCACCGGTTGCTGTGATTGGTGGTGTCCAATCGAGCCGTGATCAATCGGGATCACCTCCCTGCGGTCCAGTAGAACTGCTCTCACCACTGACCACCCAATTTTGATATTTGCCCTCTCATACATTAAAAGGGCACATGCGAGAGGGCACTGGATCCCAGAGTGTACATCCCATCTTTTCCCCTTCTCAAGGTACCTATCCTAATCTCTGCAGCTTCCACTTTTCCAATTTCCATTACAACTTTTATTACGTCTTCTTCATTAATTGAGTTATCAATATTTCTAATTAAGATCTCTCCCTTACTCTTTGTGCACCTCTACCACCGTCCCGAACCACCCCAGCGTATGTGGGAGTGTCCCTAGGTAACCTCTCTCCTCTATATTCATCCATATAATCGCTTATCAATCTACTACGCCCATAGCGACGCTTTTCTCTGCTGTCAACTTCTAACAATTCACCCTCATCCGTTATATTTTCTTTGCTGATGATTCACACATTACTTCCGTTCCGTGTACGTCCCGGAGTATCACCGGAATAGGTTTGCTCATGAAACCTTCCATTTTTCTGTTCACGCCTAAAATTATTATTTGTAAAAACACGGAAACTCAGGTAATCCTCTCTGCGTGCCTATTCACGTGCTCTTCCAGGTGAGATTTCATCTAATCTTTTTGCAACGCCCTTGATTGGGGGATGATACGCAGGCGGTGGTCCTGTCCTATTTTTCTCCTTTTCCCGTACCTCTTTTCCAAAGACCGGCCCTCTTTTTGGTGTATTAGATATTGATACACCTCCTCCACGAGAAAGTTCGTCGTTTACTCGACTCATTCTTTGTTTATCTATTAACAGTGGTTTTATTGCCGCATATTCGCTGCTCATCATATCTAGTCTTTTTTTCATTTCCTCTAGTTCGCATCTAAGAGTATTTATTTCCCCATTATTTTCATTCGGGGTGATCCCGATTGACCATGGCTCGATTGGACACCACCAATCACAGCGACCGATGTTTAGGAGCTTTGTATAACTCAAGCGCTGTGAGTGGCTCGTGTCCAAATGAGCCGTGTCCAACTGGGTGCCACCCTTTTCATTCAGTTCTGCCTTTAACTTTCTGTTTTTCTTCTCCAAGGTCTGTTTCTGAGCTCCATCCATTGTGTCCTTGTTGACGTTTATACGTATAGCCAGATCCTGCTCTGTTACCCTTGCCATCTCAATCCCCATTATTATCTGGTGTTTAATATGGCGATGATGACCTAACCCAATCGACGTGATGTCGTATCTCTGGTAGAAACCCTATAGGGTGCGTTCAGGGAGCTCACTACCGCACTATCAACGCTAACGCTACCATCTCTGTTTGCGGAGTCAAGATAGCGCTAGCGACTACAAGTTTTGTGAACAGTAATACCCTGCTGCAAATTCCCATGGGGAATTTTCCTATGGGTTTGCCTAACCATAGGTACCCATGGTAAATTCGACAGGTCCCCATGGGAGGAGACTCCTATCTTGCTGTAAATTCCCATGGGTTTTTTTATGGGTTCCTATAGGAAACTATAAGATTCTGGCTCTGTTCCAAAATTTGCTGCCAGTACTGAAAATCTATAGTTTACGTTATGTGCACTATAGATTTTCAATGCTGACAGTAAATTTTGGAACACAGCCTCTGTAGGAGCTTGTACAGCGTAAACAATTGATGACAACAGAGAAAAATATCAGGGCGTTCCTCGTCTCGAACCCAGGCCTGGTCTTTCCTTCAAATTAGTAGAATTCTTTTCTGCCACTGAACCACACAGCCCTGACGCTGATAGCTTCTCTGTTGTGCCTATTTCCTCTAAATTTCTTACAATAGATACCTATAGGATTTACACAGTATGTATATAGGATGACAGGAAATTTAGTACGAAACGTTGGAATTTCAAGAATGGATCTAGACACGGAGAAAACCACCAAACGCATAATCTTCATATAGAAAGCCCCCGTGAAAGCCATAAGAATATTAACGTAAAATATATATAAAAACACCCTGTTAAATTCATAATGTGGAATTATATTCAGTTTGAACTATTTTTAATTATTTCTATAGAATATATATATATTATTCTCTCAAGTTAGTATAGGTACCCATAGGAATGCGGAAGAGATGCCTATGGGAATTAAAGGCCTATAGGATACTGCATCTTGATGTATAGCAACATGTAGGTGCATATAGGACAGAAATGTGTATATATCATTATCCTATAGTAGCCTATAGGCACTTTCAGTCTCCATGGGGTACCTCCCCACTGTCTTACGTACGCCTACATGTTACTATACGTCAAACTGGTATCCTATACATCCTTTTGGTTCTCATGGAGGCATCTGTCCACATTCCTGTGGGTACCTATATTAACCTATTGCATTCTTATAGATGTCCTACGTATACCTATAGGTAACTACACAAGCTCCTATAGAATCTTATAGTCATCTATAGGAACCCATGAAAAAACCAATGGGAATTTGCAGCAGGGTTCCCATGAGTTTTTTCATGGGTTCCTATAGAGAACTATAAGGGGTTCTGCACAATGAAAGGAATAAGAAACAGAGAGCAGAGAATAAGAATTTCAACCTATCAGAAACTGTGTATTCTACAACACATGATTTCTGGTAGGTTGAAATTCTTATTCTCTGTTCCCTGTTTCCTATTTCTTTCATTGTGTGCAGCCTCTAAGATTCTGTAGGAGCTTGTATAGTGTAAACAGTTGATGATAACACAGAAAAATATCAGGGCGCTTCTCGTCTCGAACCCTGGTCTGATCTCTCCTC